GGGCGGAGGGGGCGCTGGGCGGGCGCTGGAGCCGCGGGGGGGCGCTGAGACGGCGCGGGGGAGGGGGCGGAGCGGGAGGGGGTGCGGCACCGAAATAAAATGGTCGGGGCGGAGGGGGCACTGGGCGGGCGCTGGAGCCGCGGGGGCGCTGAGACGGCGCGGGGGAGGGGGCGGAGCGGGGGGGGGTGCGGCGCCGAAATAAAATGGTCGGGGCGGAGGGGGCACTGGGCGGGCGCTGGAGCCGCGGGAGGGCGCTGAGACGGAGGGGGCGCATGATGATGATGATGATGATGATGATGATGATGATGTGGATGATGATGATGCTGATGGTGATTATGATGGGGGGGGGGGGGGGGGGGGGGGGGTGGGGGGGAGGGGGGTGGGGGGGTGCGGTGCCGAAATAAAGTGGTCGGAGCTCTAGACACCCTGTGCAAGAGAATAAATTCAAACAAATCCCAATCTTCCCAATATTTCCATATGTTTTTGGGATTTCAAAATTTTTCCGTGGAGTCGACGATTCATTGTGTCTGTTGTTTTTCCCCCCGATGGAGGGTCTCCGCGCCGCGGCTCGTCGAGGCCCGGGCAACCCGCGTGCCCGTGAAGCAGGGCCCCATGGGCGACCGCGCAAATTCTCGGTGCCCGGACAAAAAGAGTCCACGCCGACGGCGCGAAGACAATCAGGCATGATGGTAACGACACTTGCAATATACGTGCGGTTCGCTCCTCCTCAGCCCCAAACCCAACGTTAAAGTGTCCACATTTTGCCCCCCGCGCGTCGCCTCGCACCCAACCCCGTCAACTTCGGGTTGGGGGGGCGGGGCTATGGATGTTCGTTCGACGCGGTTCGATATCACATCCTGTTGGCGCGTTGGGTGTGGACATTTTTTTTGTCCACCCACCGTTGCGCTCAGCCGAGCCCGACAGCTTGGTGATTCACTGTCTGCGCTGCGGCCGCTGCCCTCCGCTAGCGGCGCTCACGAGACAGCTCTTCTCGTGGCCGGGGAGATGGCGCGAGCGAGGCGCCTCCTGGTGGGCTCGAGAATGCGCCCATGGGCAAGCTCTGTCGCGCCTTCGCGCTCGGCAACCTTAGAGCGGATTCGATGGCTCGCATCGGCCGGGCCCGTGCGGTCCGCGGCCCCTCGGAGGCGAAGTCGCGAGCTCCCGTGCCAGGGGCCCGCCGCGAGACGCCGTCGACCTCGAAGCCAATCCTCTGGGCGTTGCGGCGAAAACCGAAAGAGGGCCCCGCGTGCCGGGCCGAGGATTGCCGCCCTCCTCGAAACGAAACGCCCAGCCTCGGAACAAATTCCTTGCCCCGGCAGCGCTCGGGGCGCCCAGCTGCCCCGCGCGGCCGCGGCAAATGCGGGGGGCGGGGGGGGGGGGTGAGAGGGTAGATGGGATTGATGGCGGGCTTCTGCGGTAGCTAAAACTTGGCGAGACCGAGCGCCCACCTAAATGCTGCGTCTGCAAATTCGCCTGCGCCGCGCGCGCAGCTCTGACGTCGGCCCCCGCGCTGCCGGGGGGCCCCCCGCCGCGCCCAGTGGGCGAGAGTCTCGCGGCGAGAGGGCGGCGCTCTGAATCGCATCATGGAGGAAGCGACGCTTGACGAGACCACGAGGCAACGGGGCATCCCCGGGGCGCTGCTTGGCAAGCGCCTCCCTGGAGACTCGGATGGCGCGCGGCCGCGCCTTGGTGGCTCCGAAATCAACGCCGCGGTCGCGTTCAACTGTCTACGCGCAAGTCAGGCACGTGGCGGGGTCGCGGAGGGGCAGAGGAATCCGCGATGCGGGACTTCTCGACGGCAATGAGCACTTCCACCTCGGGCGGCTCTCGATGTCGGAGCTGCGTGGCCGCGGCGAGCTCGCGCCGCGTTGGCCACGACAGTGCGGGCCATGGCATTGCCCCACCCAGGGGGGGCCCTTTCCCCTGGGGGCGCCCCCTCGGTCATGACTGCGCCAGCGGGGGGGGCTGGGACCCCGGCCGCCGCGTCCGCGGCCCCCGCCCCTTCCTCCTCGCCCGCCGCCTCGCGCGGCGCCGGCGCCGGCGCCGGCGTCCGCGCCGGCCCCCCTTGAGGTGGCGGCACGGGCGTCCACCGCCTCGGCCTTCTTTATCGAAAGCTCCGCCCCCCAGTCCTCCTCGGCCCGCCGTGTGACGTGGCTGCGGAGCGCTGGCGCAAGCAGCTCGTCCGCGTCCCCCAGAGGGGCCAGGTACTTCGCGTTCGCGAGCGATGGAGCCCCTCCTCGCTTGTGGGCGTCCACGATCGCCGCCAGGCGGCGCGCCGCCACCTCGAGGCACGCGAGGCCCCCGAGGTTCAGCTGATCGAAGCACGCCGCCTCCTCCAGCGCCTCCACCAGAGGCCGGAGCTCGCGGGCGACGCGGTCGGTCGGCGCGATGTGCTTCTCCCGCAAGATCTTCTCGAGCAAGGCCCGCGGCGTTCCTGGCGTGCGGTGCGTCATCTTGCGCGTGTGCAGGCAAGTCTCAGCCCGCCCTCCAGGCGCTGATGATTCCAGTCGTAAATCACCGACTCGTTCACCGCCTTCCGGAACTCTTTGTACGGGTCCCCCTGGTCCCTGGTTGTCCCACTCCACCCAGAGGGTCCGAGTGTCTTCCGCGTCGCCCATCGAGACCTCGGGGGGGCTGTGGAGCGGCCTCGCCTGCTCCATGATCGGCCGCGGGGCGCGAGCCCGCCGCTCTGGAGGCTGGTCCTCCAGGGCAGCCAGGGGGGCTCCTCGGGTCCGAAAGCCAGCAGCTCCCGCAGCTCGGCGAGGCGGTGCTCCTTCCACTCGGCCACCACGCCCTCCGCCATCAAGGCGACGCGCAGGGCACGGCCGCGATGGAGCCACACTGCGTCTCGCCCTACGCCAAGCAGGGTCCCCGCCACGGGGCTGACGATCGCCCCCACGTCCAAGGTAGGGGTGGGCTCGGTCAGCACCCGGACGTCGCCCTCGCCAGGGGGGGTCGGAGCGTCTCCGGCTGCGGCCACCTCGCCAGGAGGAGCCTCAGCACCGCCCAGCGCTGGAGCCCCACCGGCCCCCCAGCCAAATGCGTCGGCGAGCGGCATCGCATAGCCCGAAGCGAGCTCGACCGTGCGCGGCCACCCGGCGGCCGTCTGGCCGCGGGCCTCGCAAACCCCCTTGCAGTATCGAAGGTGCTCCTCCAGCTCCGCCAGCGTCGGGCGCGCCCGAAAGGCGTAGAGCTTCCGGCCGTCGGTCGGCCCGGCGTCTCCCCCAGGCAGCCGCGAGCCCCCAAAAGGGCCATCCTTGGGCGAGGCCCCGGAGAGCAGCTCCTCCCACAGGTCCCCGTCTGGCGACAGGACCCAGCAGCGGTTCTCATCGACCTGAGCCCCTTCGGCCCTTCGGCGAGACGGCCAGACCACCACCCGCTCATGGTCGAAGTGCTCCCCCACGTAGCTGACCCGGCAGCGACACCCCGCCGGCAGATCAGCGCACCACGCCTCCTCCGCGGGCAGCGGGGGCAGGGCTGCTGCTCGGCCGCGGCGCCCCGCCATCTGTGACCACCGGGCCGCGAGCGCGGCAGCACTGGCTGCACCGCGCCGCCGCCCAACTGATGAAAGGCCTCGCGAGCGCCACCAAGCGATGCAGCAGCACCTCCTCGTGCCCCCGCGGCTCCGGGGCGGGGCACTCCACCGCCGGCGGCGGTGGCGGCGGGGGCGGCGGGCCAGCCGCCGCCACAAGCACCGCCTCCTCGGCGCGGTGCGCGGCGTCCGACGCCGCCTCGCAAGCGCCCGCGAGCCTCTCCAGCCAAGCGGGGGCTGGGGGCGGCGGGCGCGCAGCGGCCGGCTGACTCCAACCGGCCCAGACCGCCACCACAATGGCCACCAAGGCCGGCAGCGAGGTGGGCAGCACCCGCGAAGCCATGCGGCCCGCCGGCTGCCGCCCGTCTTGAGCCGAAGACAGGCTATGGGAGGGGAGAGAGAGCAGACTGAGAGACGATAGGAAGCTCCGATGTTGTAAAACCTTGGATCATTGCAGGTGGTTTCGAGAAAAACACTTGTGCACATCACTGCATTCAAAATCGTTCAGCTCAAACCGTTCAAGAACAAATCGGATTCCCATATATTTTCACAAATGTTCTGGGTTTTGTCTTCCCCACCACTTCTCATATTGTCCCATGTTTGCCTGGGAATCGCCGATTAATTGTGTCTGTGTTTTTCGACCTTCTGCTGAAACTTTCGGAAGACAGCGCGGCACAATTTTTCGGGGCGGTCGCGGCCTCGCGCGCAGCATCGAGGAAGACAAAAGATGTCGGAGCCGGTGAGCGCGCGGCCGGGCCCTCAAGTGTTAGGTCGGGCGTGTCCTCCTACAGAGGGATTTTGGACGAAAAATAAAATATACCCAGCAATATTCAAAAGTGGCCAAAAAATGTCAAACAAATCGTCCCCGGACTATTTTTGAGGATTTTTGAATATTCCCCCTGTAGATGGTCAGGCCCGGCTTAACTCAAGCGAGATCGCCATTTGTCCAATACGTGCCCGCAGCAGCAAGCCATCCGGGCGCGGATGCCGTGGAGAACACGGCACAGACGCACACTTTCGGAGCTCTGCGCGGATTTCTTGGATCGGGGCTGGACCCCCTCCCTAGCGCGCGGAGCGCGTCAGGGGCGTCGCCCGAGGCGCCGCCAGGGGGCCCCTGACGCCGATCAACTAATCAGGAACATTTGCGTATGTTTGTGTTGTTTTTTTGCCCTCGAGGACCGAGCCTGCCATAGCTAGAGGCCTCTCACATGTGGTCCGAGTAGATGGGGTCGAAGGATCGCGCCGCATCGCCGTTGCATCGGCGATGTATCGCGTGGAGAAAGTCGGGCTCCACATCGAGCCGCATCGCCGATGCGTCGGCGATGCTTCGACCCAATCTACTCGGACCCCACTTGGGAGGCCGGGAATGATCGATGTCGAGCCAGACTGAGTCGGATCGACATGGGCCCTGGAATGCCGATTCCCCTCGTGCTGCCCCCTTCTGCGCGGGCGCTGGGGTCAGCCCGGCTCCCGCAGTATCTCCCAGTAGCCGCCGCGGGTGCCGTTGACCTCGACGATGACGTTCCCGGGGCACAGCTGCTTGGTGGGGTTCCGCTGGTTCCATTCGTTCATGAGCCCGTCTCCCTCTGAGGGAGGACGAGCGGGAGGGACCAGCTCGCATCGACCTGAGATCGGGGATACATCGCCGATGGGTCGGCGATGGGACCTCGATGCCGAAACCGCACGCTCCTGGGAGGGGTGGGACTGCGCTTATGAGCCCGTCTCTTATGTCGGCATGGGGAATAAACAACAAAGGGGTTATTCAAGGGATGAGACGATACCGATGCCGCCATTCTTCCTTCTCATCGCCAATGTTGGATGCGCTCCGAAATCCGGGTCAGAACGCACCCAGGGAGAGGTCTGAGGACCAGCGATACAGTAGGGGCTCGACCACAGGAAACCTCCCACAAGAGACCCAACCCTGAGACCCCAGGACGTCCATTGATTCTCGGTACGGTGTGGGAATGTTGCGCTCTCCATAGAAAGACCATCGAAACCCAAAGAAACACAGGGCACCATGGGGGCAAGCAGGGCGTTTCTTGGCATGTGCCTCTACTGTATCAACACCTCCTGTCCTCCACCTCATCGAATCAACGGAACGTGGCCAGCTTCCCGGCGCCGACTGGCGCCAGAAGCGGCCCCAGCTCAAGGAAAGCTGCCCTTTTGGGCAGTCCTGGGTCCCTTTTGGGCCGTCTTGGAGGCCTGTGGCCGTCTTGGGGCTCTCTTGGGGGCCTCTGGGGGCCCTCTTGGGAGCCTCTTTGGGCCCTCTTGGGAATCTCTTGGGGCCGTCTTGGGGCCCTCTTGGGCCGTCTTGGGGCTCTCTGGGGACGTCTGGGGGCCCTCTTGGACCGAGTTCGGGCAATTTTAAAGGCCTCGTGGAGCCTCCTGGGCCGTTCTCTGGGCAGAAAAAACGAACCCCTCCCAAACGATCAAAAAAACCATACGTAAGTAAATGCTTCTTGCCTCTGTGGGCCTTCTTGGGAAGCCTCTTGGAGGCCTCTTGGGGCGTCTATGGGCCATCTTGGGCCGTCTTGGAGGCCTTCGGCCGTCTTGGAGCTTTCCTTGGGGCTCTTCGGGCCCTCTTGGGGCTCTCCTGGGGTCTGTCTTGGTGCCCTCTGGGGCAGTTTCGGGGCCCTCTTGGGACTCCTTGGGGCCTAGAAGAACGAAAAAACAAAAAAAAAGAAACAACAAAAAAAAGAAAAAAAAAAAAAAAAGAAAAAGAAAAAAAAAAGAATAAAACCAAAAAAAAAAATAAAGGAAATAAAGAAAAGAAAGAAAAAAAAGAATAAAAAGATTAAAAAAAGAAAACAAAAAAGAAAAAAAGAAAAAAAAAAAATAATAGAGGAAAAAGAAAAAAAATAGAAAAAAAACAAAAAAAAAAAAAAAAAAAAAGAAAAAAAGAAAAAAAAAAACACACAAAAAAAAAAACAAAAAAAAAAAAAAAAAAAAAAAAAATAAAAAAAAAAAACAAAAAAAGAAAAAGAAATAAAAAAAAAGAAAACCAAAAAAAAAAATAAGAACCTAAAAATAAAAAAAAAAAAAAAACGGACTCCTTGGGGCCTAGAGCCGTTTCACAAAACAAATGAAAAGATACGGGCCATGGGAGCCGCCTGGAAGCCGTTTCACCAGAAAGAATAAAAGGTAACTGGACATTATTCCCAACCATCCTGTGGTGTTGGGTCCTCGTTTTGAAGAGACGTCGCCCCGCGTTCTCCTCCTCCTCTCCTCTCCTCCTCCTCCTCCCCCTTCTCCCTCCTCCATCACCATCACCATCACCATCACCATCACCATCACCATCACCATCACCATCACCATCACCATCACCATCACCATCACCATCACCATCACCATCACCATCACCATCACCATCACCATCACCATCACCATCACCATCACCATCACCATCATCATCATCATCATCATCATCATCATCATCATCATCATCATCATCATCATCATCATCATCATCATCATCATCACCCGTTTCAGCACACCCCTCACACGCTTCGTGGCCCCATAGGGAGCCCCACCGAAGGGCCTAGGTGCTACCGTCCGCATGCGTCCCCCCCCCCAGTACAGCGTTTCGTGGCCCCATAGGGAGCCCCACCGAAGGTCCCAGTGCTACCGTCCGCATGCGTCCCCACCACCCAGTACAGCGTTTCGTGGCCCCATAGGGAGCCCCACCGAAGGTCCCAGTGCTATCGTCCGCATGCGTCCCCCCACCCAGTACAGCGTTTCGTGGCCCCATAGGGAGCCCCACCGAAGGTCCCAGTGCTACCGTCCGCATGCGTCCCCCCACCCAGTACAGCGTTTCGTGGCCCCATATAGGGAGCCCCACCGAAGGTCCCAGTGCTACCATCCGCATGCGTCCCCCCCACCCAGTACAGCGCTTCGTGGCCCCATAGGGAGCCCCACCGAAGGTCCCAGTGCTACCGTCCGCATGCGTCCCCCCCAAACCCAATACAACGTTTCGTGGCCCCATAAAGAGCCCCACCGAAGGTCCCAGTGCTACCGTCTGCATGCGTCCCCCCTCCCTTCACAGCGTTTCGTGGCCCCATAGAGAGCCCCTCCGAAGCCCCTGGGACTGTCCGCATGCGTCCTGGAAATCTAATTTGGCATTTTCACCCCACCCAGTAGGGCGTTTCGTGGCCCCATAGAGAGCCCCACCGAAGCACCCAGTGAGACTGTCCGCATGCGTCTCTGAAACACAATTTTTCCCTATCTAGGCTCTGCCTAGAAGGGTTTTTACTCTCTGGGCTTAAAGGGGCCGGGCAGTGGGGCTCGCTCCGGGCGGTTCCCCCGGTATCCGCCCCGCGGTTCCCCCAGTTACGTCCCCTTAGCGTTGCGTATCTCATCTTAGCTTAGCTTATGTCATCTTAGCTTAGCTTAGCTTCATATTAGCTCAGGCTTATCTCAGCTTAGCTTACCTTCATCTTAGCTTCGCTGAGCTTTAGCATAGCATAGCAGAGCACAGCATATCATACCGTAGCATAGCATAGCGCAGCACAGCATATCATAGCATAGCCCAGCATAGCATAGCACAGCGCAGCATAGCATAGCATAGCATCGTGCAGCACAACACAGCACAGCATAAAACAGCGCAGCAAAGCATAGCATAGCATAGCATAACATAGCAGAGCATAGCAGCAAAGCAAAGGCACATCAACAGCAGCGACAGCAGAGCAAAGCACAAGCAACGCAACGCAAAGCAAAGAAAAAGCAAAAGCAAAGCAAAGGAAAGGTAAAACAAAAACAATGTGCGACAGATGCCGAGCTAGCCTCGATGGCCGGACCGGAGCCCCCGCAAGCAGTGCCTTCCGTAACCATAGCGTAGCGCAGCATATCAGAGCCCAGCATAGCATAACACAGCGCAGCATGGCATAGCATAGCTTAGCATAGCATAGCTTATCAGAGCATAGCATAGCGCAGCATAGCATGGCATAGCATAGCAACTAATGCTGCTTTCCTAGGGGCTCCAACTTCTAGGTAGGGTCGCACTGGGGTAATAGTATTTTCGCACCACCCACTACGGCGTTTCGTGACCCCGTAGAGAGCTCCACCGAAGCCCCCAGTGGGACCGTCCGCATGCGTCTCGGAAACTCAATTTGGCATTTTCACCCACCCAATACAACGCTTCGTGGCCCCATAGGGAGCTCCGCCGAAGCCCCCAGTGGGACCGTCCGGATGCGTCCCGGAGACCAAATTTGGCACACCCCTCATACGTTTCGTGGCCCCATAGGGAGCTCCACCGAAGCCACCACTGGGACCGCCCGCATGCGTCCCACACACCAGGTTTTGAATTTCTCCCCGCCCAGTACGGCGTTTCGTGGCCCCATAGGGAGTTCGCCCGACGGCCCCAGTTCTACCGCCCGCATGCGTTCCCCCCACCCAGTGCAGCGCTTCGTGGCCCCACAGGGAGCCCCACCGAAGGTCCCAGTGCTACCGTCCGCATGCGTCCTGGAAACCAAATGTGGCCCCCCCCCCATACGTTTCGTGGCCCCATATGGAGCTCCACCGAAGCCACCAGTGGGACCGCCCGCATGCGTCCCACACACCAAATTTGGCATTTTCACCCCACCCAGTACGGCGTTTCGTGGCCCCATAGGGAGTTCGCCCGACGGCCCCAGTTCTACCGCCCGCATGCGTTCCCACCACCCAATGCAGCGCTTCGTGGCCCCGTAGGGAGCTCCACCGAAGAAGATATTCACCAAGATATTTTTTGTTCCCCGGCCTGCCCCCCTTCCCTGGCATCTCTAGGGGGCTTCGCCCCACCAAAACGTCATCACTCGTACCTCGCTCTTTCCGTTATCTGGGCCTGCTCGGAAACAGAGAGAGCGCCTCAAGAACTGGCCCGAGATGGCTCATGGCACCCTTCGCTCCTGGGAGCCTGCGCGGCCTGGCACAATGTGTCGGGAACCCGGGGAGTTTTCCCGTGCCGCTCAAAACTTTGTGCAACACAATGATTTGTTGATCTTTTCCTGAATGCGCCGCCCTGGGAGGTTCGTTTCGGCGGGGCGGCTGGAGCTCCAGCGATGTGCATGTATGCAAATTTCCAAGCAAGTCCGAACTACGAGGAACTTTGGTGTTAAGAGCTTGTTCCTTCACCGCTCTCGTTGGGAGCTCCAATTCTCAGAGACTTTTACGTAGCCGCTCGCTCTTGGGAGCCTTGGTATTCAGAGCTTTCTGCGTCACCGCGCTCTGGGGAGCCGTGGTGTTCAGACCTTGTTGTGTCACCGCTCGCTGTTGGGAGCCATGGTGCTACTTGGCGTCTCTGGGGCTTCTTAGGGGGTCTTTTCGGGGCCTTTTGGGTGCCCTTTGGATGTTCTGGGGCCTTTTGGGTGCCCTTTGGGGGCCTTTTGGGTGCCCTTTCGACCGTCTGGAGGCGATCTTTTGGAGCCTCCCGGGCCGCTCTGGCCCGAACGAGAACCCTAAAAACGAGCAACAACCAGACAAATCAATACGTTTTGCCTTTGTGGGCCCTCTGGGGGAGCCTCTTGGAGGCCTCTTCGGGCGTCCCGGGGCTCTCTTGGGCCGTCTTGGAGGCCTCTGGGGCCGTCTTGGATCTTTCCTTGGAGCCTGTTGGG